TTAAATTGTGGGTTTAGTCTAAGTGTGTAGAGCATTAGGTATGTGAGAAAATGTAACAGGGGCTCAGGCTCCTGTTGTGGAGAAAAAAATGAATTAAGGGGGGGAATTAATTCACGTAATAATCGCGATTTTTATCTTCTAAGATTGATTTTGATTCAGAATTTTCAGAAGTATAGTTTCACCTCACTGCTGGCAGTGTTGACTTGCTGTGCATACATTCATACTTGCTTGCATAAAACACAGTTGGAGTGAGCAGTGTGGCTGGCTAGTGGCTACATTACAACATTAAAAAAGGTTGACGCACTACAGCAAACTTTTACAATGTTGAACTCGTTCTGCATGAATGGTTCGGTTTTATTACAGGAAGATTTAATAAATGAAAACAGCCCACTATTATTTGTGAATCAGTTGAATTGTTGAATCTCAACCATAGACTGTATAAAAGAAGTGGAGGTAGTCATCGTGACGTCACCCGTTGGTTCGTGGACTGCCATTTTGAAGCCTCGAGTTTGGCCGAAAGTCGCAGCCATGTTGATTTTTTTGCAACCAGCGACCATATTTGGACGAGACTGTGGAGCAAACCGCTCCGTGTGGCGTTAGCTAGCTTGCTTAGCTAGGTGCATCTGTAATTTACGTTAACTGTCATTTTAACAGGGCTGATACTTTTGTTTAGCGAACAACAGTCTTAAAACTAAATGTACTCACCAGTTAAACAAAGGTGATATTTAAAGCTATGTTTAAGTATATTGGCTCCTTGCAGAGTAAAGAAAAGTTTAATCAACCTTATTTGCCTTATGTTATTTAATAATAATAATTATGTGGTTTTAATATTTACAACAAATTGTGTGGTGGTACATAATGTTGACCATGAAAAGAAACTTCTTTGGACCTTGGTCAGACATCAGATGGTGAGTGTTTTTATTTTATTTCATCCTACCTTTTCCTACACAGATGGAAGCTTTAAGTAACCTGTGTATAGATGTTTAATTAAATCTTTCTCACATGCAAATGAGTAGTCATACAAGTACCATACAGATTGCGGTGTTAGGTCATGAATATTCATGAGTCATCATTTTTTCCCACTGTCAACAGAACAAGAGGTAATTTATTCATCCTAACTGGCTGCTAATCAGCTGTTCTTACTCTGATATTCCTTGTGAAATTATTCTCAAGCATACATAAGCATAACTTCTAAGCATAAGCGTAATGTTCAGAACGCTTTTAGGCTATGTGTGTATGATGTGTCTGTTCATCACACGTGCCTTTCCATTTGCCACAATTTAGTAATTTATCATTGAGTAAAGATAGAGTAAACTTTTTAAAGTTAGTCTCACGTCCAGCGTCTTTCTTAGTTTGTAAATGTGTGCTGTGGTAGGTTAGATAATGGTTTGTAATTTGACTGATCACTCATGTTGGACAGAAGACATCTTAAAAAACGACAGACATGGAAAAGAAGTTGCTGACAGGCAGAAGTCATAATTACAAAAAAATTAAAGAAACAAACAAAAATGAAGCAAATTGATCTTAACACAAATGTGAGGGAAAAAGTCAAAGGTGAGTGTCATGACATCGTGATGTAAGCCAGTTCACTTCCCATTCACTTAAATTGTCTTTTTTCTCTTAACTTAAGCATGCAAAGACAAACACTCAGCTGAGTATCAGCCCAGACACCCTCTGTGGTCAGCCTGAAGACGGTGGCAGGAGAAATACTTCCCTGCTGTGGTATCTCATGTGTGCAGCTTTCCATTTCTATTACTTCCTCCTTCACTTGCAAAAAGCCACATGCACACACACACACACACACACACACACACACACACACACACACACACACACACACACACACACACGCCTTATTTAATTGTTGCATGTCTATGGCCTCTGTATGTTTCTGTAGATTTTATGTGTATCGTTCAGTTGTGTGTGCATCCATGCGTGTTGCCACCCAGGATACCCCAGTAATAACAATATCAAGAGGGACTTGAGAGAGAGAGAGAGAGAGAGAGAGAGCAGGTCTAATTAAGCTGTAGGTGTCCATTATCTTTCTACATCATTTTTTCCCTCTAGATCTCCCTCACTGTTCTTTTCCCTTCCATTTGCTGCTGAATGTAGGTCAATCAAAAATAGTTACAGATGGCTGATGGTACTCCATATTTAACTTAGGTAGCCGATGCTTTTAACCAGATTTTGAAAAGTTTAAAGCATCTGTTTCAATTTTCACAAATTTAACTCCATATCATTTTTTTTTTTTTGTCATAATGTCCTCAAAGAAGCAGAATGGAGATAATCCTGAAGCTAAAATGTGTGTGTTACTTTTTTCTTCAGCACTAAAAAATATGTTGTTGTTTTTACCTTCTTACTCTTTTACTTTTCAGTATCTAGTGCTTTCCCATTAATTGTCCACAACCCTAATGTAAAATACCTCTATGTCTGTTGGATAGAGTTGGTCTCTTAGGTCAGTATGGAGAATTAAATAGGTGTTGGATTCATGTTATTGTGGACAGGTAAGTTAACGCTTCATTTATTTCCAAAAGGGAAATTATTTAGTCAAGCTCCTCCTCATTCCTCTCATAATTGAAAACAGGTCATGGCTTCTCATCATTTGATCCACTAGGGTGTGTTTGATTGGTTCATTTGCCATGTTATGTTACAGAGAAGGACAGAAAAGCAAGAGAGGAAATAGAGATGACAGTATAGAAGAGAGGAGAGGAGGGGCTGTGAGAGAAGTGTTTGATACCAAGGGTCGACATGCCAAGCATGACGGCCAGATGAAGGGGTGAAGGCGAGGTAATCTGTGATGGAAAGACACAGAAATGAGGGTAATGAGAAAAAAGGAGGAGAGTGCTGAGGTAAAAAAAAAAGAGAGGTGAGAGAGGGGTAAGTGAGGGAATGAGAGGGAGTTGAAGGGAAGGGTAAGCCTCTAACTCTGTAGGTAGCGGTAATTAGAGCAAGGCTTGTCCCCTGTGAGATGAAGACACACTCACTCTGTTAATGCATGCACATGGTTATACCCCATGCCCCCCCACCAACCCCCATTAAGCATTTCAACATATTAACTTATATATTACACCTTTTATTTTACCAAAGCATTGCACAGACATGCACAGGCTAAACTACAACACAGTCCCACACTTTAAATTGACTATGAATGTTGTTTTAAATAATGCACAAGCAGGTTTAGCGATGCTTCAGAAAGATCAGCGGGTAGCAAAGAAAAAATAATACATCAGTAGATTCACTAGATAAATAAAACATTAAGGCATGTTATAAGGTCACCGTTTGCATGTTGGATAAATTAACTATTTAGCAGCTTTGATTGGCTCAATTAACCATATCCTACTCACTGTATAGCTGCTAGGGTGTAAAGTTGAATGAGCTATGAGTTTATTAGTTTATTTACTTTTTCTTTTTTACATCAGCTCGTGAGCAGGCTTTACGTGTTTATGGCATTTATAGCCTCTGATAGCTATCAATATCTAATATCTATATAATATAAGTCAGAGCTTTGTCAGCATAAAAGTTTACTTAAATCCTGTTCTTGGGTTGAGAAACAAAAAATGAAAACAACAATCATTCACTGTAAATAGTTTTCTCTTTTACACCATGCATCCACATACAGTGTTGTGGTAATGCTGGTTATCTTGACTAAATGTTGCTTGTTTCTCTTGGTAGACAGAGATGCTGTCAACATCTTCATTCAACAGCAAATGCCAGTGTGTCCGGCCCGAAGGCTGAAGCCACCATTAGTCATTCGCATTTAGCTATGAAGTTTAGTCAGGTGTGTGTGTATTTGTGTGTGTGCAATTCAGGGTCCTGTCCAGGTAATGACTTGTGCAGTGTCCAGTAGTGCTGAGTGTGCTGTTGATGCTGACCTCACACAATCTATATTGACTGGTGTGGTCTGAGTATTGATATGTGGCCACTTAAAATGGGCCTCTAAGTATATCCTGTGTATGCCAACTTTTAATTTAGAGTAGACTGTATAGAGTAGTAGTTACTATGTTAGGCACTAGCTTTTAGGGCTGCAGCTAATGAGTATTTTCATTTGATTAGTTAGCAGTATTGATTAGTTGTTTGGTCTATAAGATGTCAGAAACTGGTGAAAAATGTCAATAAATGTTTGCCAAAGTCCAAGATATATATATATATATATATATATATATATATATACAGTATTTGTATGTTATAGTTTAATGTATGGATTTTGATTGATTCATGTTATAAACAAAAACAATCTCAAAGAAGAAAGAATGACAAGAAGAGACGGGTATGACAAAAAAAGCCTTTGGGGCATTTCATTTCATTTTCATTTGTGGATATTGAGTCATTTATAAGGTGCAGCAAGAGGCTGAGTGTGATTTACCTTACGTTACTGCTGAGTTCTATGTATGCAGGTGCCATTGTTTGCCTCTTCCTATTTTTTGTTTCTCGCTCGCAGTGCCCTGTACATCTCTTGGTTGTTGAAATTGTGTTCAAGCTCACCTAGCAGAGCACATGCACCATGTACCAGTGAGTCCTTACCGCAGTGTCCCGGGTTTGAATCCGATCCGCAACTCATTTGCTGCACGTCTTTCCACCCTCTCTCTCCAGTCTGTCTTCGGCTGTCCTATCATCAATAAAGGCAAAAAAATCGCCCAAACAATAGGAATCTTGCGCGTGAGAAATAATATGATTTGCTCTTGACATATGACATAAATCTGACGGCATACCAACATTGTATTGGTCCTGACACTCAGTCACATGCTGTGCCAGAAGCTCTCGCAACGAATAACAAAGTGTGTGTATCTGCGTTTATGTTACTGTGTGTGCGTTTGTTGTAAGAACAGTACAAATGTGTTGTTTGTTCCTCATCTGCTTCCACAGAACCACATCATGCCAAAGGCTGTTAAAATCCCCATGCTGAGCTATAATATTATGATATTTTTCTCTCTCTGTCTCATTGTTTTTGATGCCCATCTCTCTTTGTCTTTCTGTCTGCATTGCTGCTTCTCTCTGTCCAGATTCGGGAAGAAAAAAGAGGAGAAGAAGGAGGCAAAAGCAGCTCTGCAGCGACAGAAGACAGACATCCTGAGTGATCATGAGCTTGAGAGGATGAAAGATGAGAGGGAAAGGTGGGGAGCGTTCTGGAAAAGAGATGATTATGATTTTTTTGTGTTTTAAATTTGCTGACATACAGATATTGTGAATATCCAGAGTACACAAGTCACTTTATTGCAGATGATGTTCATGTATCATTCTCATGGAACACATTGAAACCACTATTAACAGCTCTTACATTCCTTTCTTTTATTTCTTCTCATTCTTTCCGTTCTCTCTACCCCTCTCTGCTCCATTCTTGTCATTCCTGAGTGCTAAACTAATGGTGCAGTTTTGTGTGGTTTGTTTAAAGATGTTTCTTTGTGGTAGCCTTTGTTATAACTCAGTCATTAGCCCGCTCATGAGAACCATCAGTGTTTCAATGAGATTTCTAGACGTCTTAACTGGCTCTCCATCTGTCTGTCAGAATCGAGGCAGGGCATCCTGAGCTGCGAGAGCACCGACCCAGAGACCAGCAAGGCGGTGGCGGCTCGGCATATCCAGATGTGGAGGATGACGACGCAGACCCCAACTATGCCCGAATACAGTCCTTCAGGGGCAGAGATATGGGTTCAATGCCCCAGCCGCTGTCTCAGTCACCTCCCTACAGTACAATTCAGCACGCCCATGCTCGCACCCCGTCCCCCCAAGGTCCCTCTGCCTTTCCAGGGCATGGGAATCATGGCAACGACCCTGTAGCCATCCCTGATGATGACCCCCTTGATAGGCTGTACGCCAAAGTCAATAAACCAAGGGGAGCTGGAACTACATCTCCTCCTGTCTCTGCTACTGCTAATGACAGGTAAGACACCATAACCTTCTCGGGATTCACTTCTAGCTTCGGGCTCTTGCTTTAGTGTGGTAGTTATTTTTCAGAGGCGCAAAGAGGTTTGGTTCATTAGTGTGACAAACTGTGGCAGAAGTGGTTCAATTTGATCACTTTGTCTTAAATTTTAACATCTAAAAGTTCCCATCAGGTATAGTCTAGTTTAGTCTTTTTAAAACCAGCGGATAAACCTGGGCCCCCTTCCTAGAGTTAGGCCTGGACAGGAAGCTCCCAGGTTTCTGTCCACTCCCATCCCTCTTCAGGTTTACAATGCAATGTTATATTGCTGATGCTTCATATTTCTCCCTCTCTCTCCCCCCTCACCTGTTTAAATCAGATTTGGCTGTCACAGGCCAGTTTGTGTGTGTGTGTGTGTGTGTGTGTGTTTGTGTTTGAGAGCAAGAGAGAGATGGAGACAGGCAGACAAAAAGAAAAAGATTGAATTGTTTGTGCTTGCTTTGAGCTTCAGTATGAGCGAATGTGTACTCACATGCCCACTGACATATATATTGTGTGTGTGTGTGTCCCAGCAAGAAAAACAACCCACCGCAGGGTTCAAAGTGTTCCTCTCAGCTCCACAATCCTTACTCCTTACCTTTATTACGTCAGTCACAGCTCACTTACTTCTGAATATATCTACCAGTACAGATATTCTCGCATACACACACACAAACACACACACAAACACACACACCATATTGCTGTGCCTGCTTGATGGACAGCTCCAGGCTTCATAGAAATGTTTTTTGACAGTGTCTGTCTCGTATTGTTTCCTCCATGCATAAATAATGTTCCATCATGGAAAGTCAAGACTCATTTGACCTTGGTTTCTAGGGTTGACTTTATTTTCATTAAAAGTGAATTGCTATTTCTTTTTTTCTGAGTGCACAAGGATATGGAATCCAGCAATGTTCAAACCTTAGACAGGCATGTTATACAGTGCCAGGTTCTTCTAAAGCCAAACCAAAGGTCATGGGTGAGCCACCACTGTCTTTAATTAAATGTAAGTAAATGCTACATAACATAAAAACAATTTGTCGTAACTTCAGTCTTTTCTAATTCTAAGTATTATGTAGTATTTTGTTGTGAAATTGTATGTTTTTGAAACAATCCTTAACCCGTCAACCGTCTCATATTCACACATTATTATTTGGATTATGTAAATGCACATTGTTTGCTTGGGCTGCAGTAATGCAATGCATGGTTAAATGTGCAGCTAAATACATTAATTACAGCAGACAGTTTGTGGGTATTTAGCTTGATTTTTCCAATACTTACTCACTTAAGTTTCCCAATCTATTTCCTTCTTTAAAAGAAGAAAAATAAGTCTAAGAATGTCTTGATTTTGCAAACCTGTATCCATGTCCACCGCAGTCCTGGCAGATAGAGCTATTCATTTATCATCACTTCCTGAAACCTGATGAGGTAGACAGAAGGAAGTCCAGGTATTGGCTGACAGTAATCGATGGTGCCAAAAAAAGAAGGTAGTGTGTCAGCGGTGTCTGTGTGTGTGTGACTCAGTGTGTGCGTGACTCTGTGTTACTGTGCGTCGAGGGAGGCCAGAGCTGCGGTATGCATGTGGGAGACGGAGATAAACAATTTTGCTAAGGACTCCATTCCATCAGCACCTCAGCAAGGCAATGAAGCACACCGATTTATACACACACACACAGAATGAGTAATGCAGTGGTAAAAACACCTACAGCTCACAAATGTACACAGTTGTGTGTATGTAGACTGAATATAACATATAGATGAACTCCTGTCTGTTAGAAAAGCAAGTCATAAATATTAAAGAATGTCTCAACAAGCCAAACAACGAAACAGGCAGTACCTCAGCCTTGAGACAGTGCTGGGTAATAATGATAATTTAAGAATGAAACAACACCATTGGCTGAAATTAGGCCGCCCTGGAAACTGTGAGTGCTGCTGGAAACAATCAGTTTGCTTAGTCATTGGAAACAATAATAACTTTTAGTAGGTCTTGATTCAGAAATAAAGATCACCTAGAATATTTAGTGAACAGGACACAGCGCTCCATAATGCTTCCTCTAAACTTGGAAGATTTACCTTTTAGTTGCTTTGAAAATGATTGTTGCATTACAAAGTTGATATCTTCTTAATGGAACAATAGTTTAAAGTAGTAAACATCTGAAATTTGTTGTGCTTCGCTTACTTTGTGTAGTAATGCTGCCTAATTAGTAATGAATAAGTCTGATTATACCACGATTGTTTTGTTTGTCTTAATGTCTTTTCATCAACTGTCAGCAACACACAGCAGAACTGACTGACATCTGCAGTGTCCCATTCCTTTATTGCCCTTTTAGTTTGCTCTGTAACTACTGGTGCATCTCCAATAATTTGAAAATCCCCCATAGTGATTTTACTCTGAACTGGGTCTGAGCCAAACACTAAAAAAGCTTTTTAAATGCACACAGTATTCTTTCATTGCTGCAAGTATCTCTATGATGCACGTACGACAAAGAGCACATCAGTAGGCGCTCAGTAGCTGGCCCTGCTTAACATAATGTTTGAATCTGTCAAAAGCTGTGACAAACTCCACAGTAGAGGAGCAACAGGTCGATACTTTCAACATAACAGCGACGACGATAAGAGTACATTAATTAATGTGGGTGGCGCAGGGGTAAAATTGTTGTCTAGCATGAGCGACTTTACAACTGGTTGTGCCTAACCAATCGGCACTCCTAATGCCTCAACCCAACAGCTAATCAGAGGCAGAGTAGGGCGGGTCTGACAGCAGGTGAGACTGCCGAACGAACTGTCCGTTGGACAGCAAGCCTGATATAAGACAGAAGTAAGCCAGCTTACAATGTTAGCTGTCCTGTCAGATACAGTAATGTTGCCAATTTTATAACTTTGCCCACTGTTATTGACCAATAATGTTAGCTAAGCTGTGTCAGCAGCCTGGGTGTAATATAGGCTAACGTCAAAGTAAAAGGTACTTTATTTGTCACATACACATAGTGAGATTTAACCCATCCCTGAAGGGAGCAGTGGGCAGGCACTGTAGAGCGCCTGGGGACCAACTCCAGATACCAACTCCAGATTGAAATGCAGTGTCAGCAAAGGCCGGGACGACCGGGGTTCAAACCCAGGACCTTTTTGCTGTGAGGCCACAGTGCTATCCACTAGGCCAACATGCTGTCTAAACAGGATCAACGTGTCGGCATCTGTGCTATTTACACTGGGGGAGCAGGGGACATGTCCCCATCACTTTTTGAAATCATTTGTTAAAAAAGCTTTGAACAAGAGCTTGCAACATGAAATGGCAAAGAACCAATGAAAGTGCTTTGAGAAAGGTTTATTTGCATTTTTAAGTAAGAATTATAAAGCTACAGATTATAAAATGACCCCAAAGCATGCAGCACCAGTCAGTAAGTTTACCAACTTTTTGTCTAAGTTTTCTGTTCTCTCCCTGTGAACACGACAAAAGAGAGGGGGAAAATAATCATTCCTGCATGTGTCCTAATTGAGCAGGGATGATATTTCATGAGAAACGTTGATACAGTCTACAGGAGAAACATGTGAAAGCAGCATAGAAATGCCTGAGAGCTGCACTGCACAAGATTCTGTAATATTATAATTTTGAATTGTCACCTGCCACCTGAAGTTTGTGTTTCCCTTTACATAAATAAAAACCGTTTTCATCATAAGTTGATGTAGGAAAGGCAGTGCAAGAAATTAAGTGTTTAATACTCAAAACTTTCTGGGGGAATACGCCCTTATGTCCCCACTACTTTTCAACACAAAGTGACGTGTCGGTATCTTTCTCTTGTTGCAGTAGACAAATGCACGTTTTGTATACAACTTGTAAGCTTAAAAACAGACCGCTCTTACACCGTCTCTCTGCTTGCGTATCCTTCTCACCTTTTTTTTTTTACCACCCGACCAGTTTGCATGCCCGGCTTTAGTTAGCCGTATGTAAGCAAGCAGTCACACTTTTTCCAAGTTTTCCAAGAAATAATTTAAATCAAAACAAGGCTGCATGCAGTCTTCCACGCCAGTTTAATCGTCTTTGCAGTTGTTCAGACATCATGTCACTTTCTTCAGGTATCTCACATGGGCATCAGTAAAATCGCAATTTACATAATAGGTCTTAAAAAATAGCCAATTATACTCCACAGCACACATATACAGTATGTGTCTGGCTGCATGTGTGCATTTTTGTATGTGTTTATAAGCATTTAAACTGCTCTATTATGGAAGGATAGTTATTTAACCACACAGCGAAGTGATATATCACACAGTCTGCTTCTCAACCAGCGCACCACCTTTAATTCTAAAGGGCACAGCCAGCTCAATTTCTTATGCATGGCAGAGTTTAATGCAGACTCATTTAGTAAACCAGTTACACACACACACACACACACAGACACAAAGCCATGAATGTGTTTGAGAGAAAAAGCACACAAAATCTCTCTCTCTCTCTCCTCTCTTTTCACAAAGGGAAGGTTTTCCTTTGTAATCTTCCTTTACGTTAGACAATATCCACAAGAAGGCATCTCATTTTGAATATGCAATTGAAAACAATGGGCTTCCATAGGAGCATTTCCCGGTTGTTTAATTCTTTGGTATCAATCAAATTAATAGTTTATGATCTCAAAGTCATCTGCCAAAATGCACACACCTTTACTGTGTGATCGGCTACAGAGTAGGTTAGAGGTGACAGAAAGTCGTCTTCTTATATTAACTGCCAGAAAGCCCCCACCCAAAAAGCTAAGTCTTTGGGGGTCAAAAAGCCAGCTAAGTGTGGATGAAGTGCTAAATCTAAGAGAGAGAAAAAGATACATTTTCAGATTCAGTCAGCTTATTGTGGACGTACAGTCTTTCTCCTGGTGTCCACCCTCCTGCGGCTTGTCCGCCCCTCTTCCATCTCGGCACACAGATGGACAGATTGGAGGGCCTGAGTGGCTCACGTAGGGAAGGACGTAGCAAGGGAACCATGGCGAGAGAGA